GAACAGGGTGCTGGGAGGGCAGAGGACAGGGTTCTGCAGCAGGGGACAGAGTGCCAGTGGGGACAGGTTTCTGCAGCTGGGGACAGGGTGCTAGTGGGGACAGGAATAGGGACAGAGTTCTGTAGCTGAGAACAGGGGAGTGGGAACAGAATTCTGTGGCTGGGGACAAGGGAGTGGGGACAGAGTTCGGAGAGTGGGGACAGGGGAGTGGGGACAGAGTTCGGAGAGTGGGGACAGAGGAGTGGGGACAGCGTTTGGGGAATGGCTTTCTACAAGGAAAAAGCTTTTTTCCAAAAGGGCTCTTTCGGAAAAAGGCGTATGTGGATGGGGAAGAGGGAGTTTTTCCGAAAGAAGAGGAAAGAGGAAAAAGCACAGGGGCCCTAGTGGCCATTCCGTCCATAGTAGTCACAGCTTACATGTGATATAGCATTCATTCATTACACCTGCCCCAGGGCCAACCGCCCCGGCGCAGGGAAGCCCCGAGCGCACCTGCCCCAGGGATGACCCCCACCCCCAGCCTCCCACGGGGCTGACTCACCCCTCCCGTGCGGTACAGGGAGATAATGCTCCCTCCCTCAGTACACCCGGCAGAGCAGCTAGCGCTACTTCCGGAAGCGCCGGAAGTGGCGCTAAGCTGAGGGACTTCTGTCCATCCCCGGGAAGCCTACACTACCTCCATTTTCACTGGAAGTAGGTAGTGGGGCTTCTCGGGGGGGGGAGGGAAATGGGGACAGGGCGGACAGAACGCCTCACGATCGACTGGTCAAGGCCTCGCGATTGGTGGTCGAGGCCTCGTAATCAACCAGTCAATCACGATTGACCTGTTGGTGACCACGGCTCTACATTCTCCCAGTATCTGCCAGCCTAGTCCATACCAACAATCTGCAGAACATATATCTTATTCACCTACACCATCTTTACCACGCACTGGGCACAGCATCAGACAGGAAAGGAAGTTCTCTTTCCAGCACTCCTCGCCAACAGGCTCAGTTACTTCCTGGTGTTCCTCATGGCACTGACTACCACCTCTCCCTCTACAATAGCTGTGGTTTAATCATCCCTGGCCCTATCCACCTCAACAGTTCCAACCCCAGTGGTCCCCTTGGGAGCCAGGGAACTAATACCGCTCCTGTTCCTTGCACCGATCATGTGAAATTGTGGTATCTACACCACCGCATACTGTGACCCCGTTCTCCAGCTACCACTGCACACTCCTCTTTGTCTCGTCCTCCACACTCATGTTCTGTAACAACCCAGGCTGAGCCAATGGATGATGATGACAACTTACCTTACTCTGATTCGGACAGTTCCTCTTCGGTGGCACAGTGTTCCTCTTGTTCAGATGAGGCTGCCTTTCCTTCATCATCCTCTCCACCTGCAGACAACCTGAAGTAGTTTCAGGACTTGTTTAAATGGATAGCTCAGTCCCCAGATATTTTGCTGCAGGAAGTACAAGAAAACCAATACAAATTACTCAAGATACTCCAAACAGCAACATCTTCCAAAGTAGCATTACTAATCAATGAAGCCATTACGGAACCATCAGAGGCAAACACCATCCTCTATCCATCCCACCAATCGCAGAGCACAGAAAATATTTCATCCCAGTTAATTGAATGGATTTTCTTTTTTGAACCCCCAACCAAATTTATGGTTTGTGGACTCAGTCAATTGCAGATCTAGACAATCCTAGTATAAGACCACACCATAGGACAAGGAGCACAAGAGGTTAGGCATTTTTGGCAGAAAAGTTTATTCCTCTTCCGTCCTCCAATTCCGAATATCGAACTACACCGCTCTCCACGCTAATTACGACCATGCGAATTATGCTGGGCTACAAGAGCTCCTGCAAGACCTCCCAGAGAAAAAGAGGCCTCAGTTCCAATCCATAATGAAGGAGGGTCAATCTGTAGCACAAACAGTCCCTCAGGCATCTATGGACATAGCTGACACAGTGGCCAGGGCTACAGCAATTGCGATAGTTATGAACAGTGCTTCCTGGCTACAATCTTACGGTGCCCCAAGGGAGCTGCAGACCAAAGTAGAAGACCTCCCATTTGACAGGAACCAACTTTTTGTGGCCAAGACCATCAAAGTCTTCCATTCAGTGAAGGACTCCCACACTACACTGCAAACCTGAGGAATGTACACCCCACCTAATTGGAGACACAGGTAGGCTCCATATCAGAGGCCAAGAGATATCAACTACCAGAGACAGCAACAGAAGTCATACAATCACAGATCCAAACAAGGGTCCAACAGAAGGAGAGAGCAGCACAATCAGCCTTCCAGCAATCAACTTTCCACATCCATGCTCCAAATTTGGAGACGTGGTCAAGGGTCTGAGCGACCACCCCAATGATCCAGTGCGTACGAGGCCTATTTTCCATTACCGTCTGAAACCCTTTTGTCATCAGTGAGACCTCAACACTTTGGACAGACGGGTCCTTGAGATTGTCAATACAGCCTACACAGTCCCCTTCCTGTCTGTGTCCCCTCGCCAACTCTCTTCAAGGATCATTCTCACGAGCCCTTTCTACAAGCAGAGGTACAAAAACTACTCTGCTTAGGGGCAAAAGAACCAGTCCCTCCAGAATTTCAAGGGAGAGGATTTTATTCCAACTACTTCCTAACTGCCAAGAAAACAGGTGGTTGGTGGACCATTTTGAACATAAGAATGGCCATACTGGGTCAGACCAAAGGTCCATCTAGCCCAGTACCCTGTCTGCTGACAGTGGCCAGTGCCAGATGCCCCAGAGTAGTGAACAGAACAGGTAGTCATCAAGTGATCCACCTCCTATCATCCATTTCCAGCCTCTGACAAACAGAAGCTAGGGACATCGTTTCTGCCCATTTTGGCTAAGTTGACCTAACCTCCATGAATTTATCTAGTTAGGGTCTTTACAATCTTCTCTGGCAACGAGTTCCACAGGTTCAATGTGCTATGTGAATAAAAACTTTTGTTTTAAACCTGATACCTATTAATTTCATTTGGTGACCCCTAGTTCTTTTGGGAACAAGTAAATAATTTTTCCTTATTCACTTACTCCATACCTCTCATTATTTTATAGACCTCTATCATATCTGCCCTCAGTTTCCTCTTTTCTAAGCTGAATAGTCCCAGTTTTTTAAATCTCTCTTTATATGGCACCTGTTTCAAACCCCTAATCATTTTTGTTGCCCTTTTCTGAACATTTTCATTTCCAATATGTCTTTAAGATGAGGCAACAACATCTGTACAGAGTATTCAAGATTTGGCGTAGCATGGAGGCAATAACATATTCTCTATCCCCTTTTCAGTGATTCCTAACTTTCTGTTTGCTTTTTTGACTGTCACTGTACATTGAGTGGATGTTTTCAGACAGCTATCTACAATGACTCTAAGATGTCTTTCTTGAGTGGTTATAGCTAAATTAGTCCCCATCATTTTATGTCTAGTTGGGATTATTTTTTCCAATGTGCATTACTTTGCATTTATCAGCATTAAAATTCATTTGCCATTTTGTCGCCCAGCCTCCTAGTTTGGGGAAATCCTTTTAAAGCTCTATCTTCTGCAGATTTTGCCCCCTCACTGTTTACTACCATCTCCAGATCATTTATAAGTAAGTTGACTAGGATTGGTCTCAGGACTGACCCTTGGGTGACACCACTAGTTATCTCTCTCCGTTCTTGTTTCATCCTTTTTATATTTTTTGCTTTTGGTAACATTTGTCCAGAGGTTTAATGTTAATTAAATATAGGTAATTGTTTTGCTTAGTTATATTTAATAATGTGATGTTTATGGATTCATGTATCTTAAAATTCAAATGGTAGTTTAAAAAATATAAAAATTGTAAATGTGAAACATACCTTCTACGTGGGCCTGAATATTTAGCATATTTGTGCTCAATTTTTATTTTGGCATGTTGCCAAAATTGTCTCAAACAAGAAAAGGAACATGAAAATTTGACAGTTTATAGTTCAGCCAGATCTGAATAGAATTTAATAGAAGAAGCAAAATGAATTCCTGTAGAGCAGGGGTGGGCAAATTCTTGCCCACAGGCCAGTTCCGGTCTGCCAGGGTTAGCCACACCACGTTATTTACCTGTGTTTCTGCAAGTACAGGAGATCGCAGTGCCCATTGGCCGTGTATCACTATTCCCGGCCAGTGAGAAGAACAATCACCCATACTTGCGGAGGTATAGGTAAATATAGTGGCAGTGGGCCAGGTAATCCTGGTGAACCACCCCTGCTGCAAAGCTTTCTCCTTACCAAGTTTCAAAGGCCTGCTACAAACAATGGAGATGTTAATTTCTCCAACAATGAAAAGTCACAAGACTCTTTTAAAATGGAAATTGTTAAGCAATTAAACATGGGAGTCCAGCTTCTCCCATAATAATTAAAGAAAATAATATAAATAACTTGTAGTTTATGAATACTGTTTTGCTTTTTAGATCACAATCGTGTACATGCCACAGATGTTCTTCATGCAGTATGGTATCTCACAACACGGCCCATTCCTGGGTTTCAGCAACTTCACGGTGATCATATAATGCAAAGTGACATGGGTATGTATCAATATAAATTTTTTTCTATCTTGAGTTAAGATATTTTAATCAATCTAGAATAATTACAATATATAAATTGAACAGTAATCCAAAAAACCCTTAACAGCTCTTAAGTATTTTAAAGTTGAAAGATAATACAGTAACAGTACATGCCATTTGCGAGCAGTATATACCTGATTTTAGGATAATTGATTGAATGGTTGCTGATGGGCTTGGCTCTTTAGCCAAACATACTGTTTCACTGAGATAAGCTTTTTCCTTTTGCTACAGTCAGCATGCTTCTAGTAATTGAAATACATTAGGTTAATATTTCTTTATTTAATTAGTAAATTAAACAGCTCAAAATAAAAATGCCTAAGATTAAAATATTTAACTTAAATGGAGCTCTGCTTACTGATTCCAATGTAAAAATGAGATCGTCCGGAACAATTGATGGTCCTATTTATATACAGGTTGGACCCTCTGCCAACAGCTCCCAAACCCACACTTGATCAATGCTACCTAGCTCTTCTAGGCCCCGCTAGCCACCACTGGGGCTGGATCTCCCCAGCTGCTGCTGGAGCCAGAGCTCCCTGTCTGTTGCTGGAAATATACAGCTGCTGGGTCCAGAGCTCCCCACTGCACTGCCCTCTCCCATCCACCACCAGACTTCTCTGTCCCTTGGCTCTGTGGCCCAGGAACATCCATGGTCCAGCCAGACCAGAGAGTCCCAGTTTAGGGAGATACAACCTGTTCTGAGATTTATCTTTTTCAACACACTGGGATTACAGATAAATACACAGAAGTCCCACCTGACTCCTAGTCAGGAGGTGGAATTCATAGGCACAAGGCTGGATTGCATCCGAGCACAAACCAGACTTCAACCTCAACATTTCCAATCCTTAGCTCTATTGTTTCTTTGGAAGGGTAGGGCACACACCTGAATGGGAAGATGGTCTCCGTCATTCAGCACTATACATCAGTATTCTGGAGCTCCGAACTATAAGAAGACCCCACAAATATATCCTCCCCTTGATCCGCAACAAATCAGTGAGAATACTCACAGACCACATGGCTTGCATGTTTTCTGTAAACCGCCAAGGGGAGCCAGGTCTTACCATTTTTTCAAGGAAGCCACGGCCTTGTGGTATTGATACATTGAGCATCACATGAACATCTCAGCAGTCTTATCTCCTAGGAAAACAAAATATGATGGCAGACCATCTCAACAGAAACTTTCATCAGAAATATGAGTGGAAGATCCATCCACAAGTCTTGCATACCATAGCCCAGAAGTGGGGCTTTCTAGACATAGACTTGTTCACCACTTTCGCAATGCAAAATGCCCCAAGTACTGCTCCAGAGCAGGTCTGGGCAAGAACTCTCTGGCCGACGCCCTGTTGTTCAATTGGGCGGACAAACGTTTCCGCCCCTACAACTACTCAACCAGGTCACCCAAAAATAAAACCGTACAAGGCCCAAGTCATATTGGTAGCACCAGAATGGCCCGGACAAGCCTGGTTTCCTTACCTATTGCAGATGTCTCTCCCACTTCCATCTCCCCGCAATCCCCCGCCCCCTGGTTCATCTTGCACAACTCCCAAATCTCCTATCAGAGGACAAGGGCTGAATTCTCCACCCAGACATTTCAGAGGTTACATCTCAAAGCCTGGCTCCTTCAAGGGAGATCACATCCAACTCTTAAAGGTCCGTCACTTAATCATGAACAGTCACAAAGTGAGCACCAGGAAAACATGCCCTCAAAAATGACAATGTTTTATTATTTGGGACACTCACAATACACTATCACCTTGCTTAGCACCGCTCCTGAAAGTGCTAGATTACCTTCTTTTCTTGAAGAAGAGCCTCTCAAACTCATCAGTGAAAATTCACTTGGTGGCTATCTCAATTGAGCGTTCTCAAATAGATGGGCACACACATTTTATTCACCTGACTACAAAAAAGTTTTGCAAAGCATTCAACAGTTCTGGGTTCTGAATTCTGGGTTCTGAATCTTCTCTTTACCAACTTGACTGATCATCACTTTGAACCAATGGTGACTTGTTCACTTTCACTTCTCTCAGTAAAAGTCACTTTCTTTGTGGCCATCTGCCAAAGCTTTTCCCACTTTGGCACTCTGAATGCAGAAGGTGAGGGCCTGCAAGAGAGCTTCAACACCATGCCTCTACAGGCACCGGTTACAAAAATTTCCCCCCAGAATCATAATCCACAGATTTTGGGGAAACTCTGCTACCATCAAGTGCTTTTTTTCCCCCTTTAAAAACCAGGGGTGAACACTTGAAATCACCCCCCAGGGTACCATGAGCTCTTTTACCCCAAAAGAGCTTGGAAAAAGAAAAACAAGCTGCAGTCTCTGGTAGCTGACCCTCAGTCAGAGGCATGCAGATGCACACAGACAGACCTTCCAGGACACAAGAATCAAATCATCACCTTTAAAAAAGTGATTTTATTACAAAACAAAGGATAAACTTGATAAAGCACACTTGGTTGCTAGTTGTTATAGAGCACTAAGGAAAAAAATAAAACACAGAGAAAAGTCTCTGGGCACAATGCAAGGTAGTAAATGGGGAGGGGAGGCATAGATTCACACAGAGCAGTTCAAACCAAACCACAAAATAAAGAAAATTACCTTGAACGCAACTAGATTCATTTTTCCCTTTTACTTACTTCTAATTTTCTCTTTGTTCAGTCCTTTTCCATGCCCTGAATTCCTTGGACACTTGGCAGTCCAGCCTGGGTTTAAATCATTCTATTTAAATCAATCTCTCAACTCCTGGTTTAACTTTTCCATCCAAAGAAAGCAGGCAAAGAACCTATATCCAATTCAAATTTCAACCCTCTTATCTCGATTGGTTCTTTCGGCCCCCTGGGCACCACCTTTGCTAGCTACCTAAGTCACTGGTCAGCACTCCTCCTGTCCATTACACCATCATGATGACAAGAAGAGTTAGTGAACTCACTGCACTCCTAGCCGACTCTCCCTTTATGTTGTTTTATTAGGACAAAGTGGTGCTCAGACCTCTGCCAAAATTCCTTCCCAAAGTGGTCTCTCAGTTCTACATCAACAAGCCTTTATACTTACCTGTCTTTTGCCAGAAGCCTCATTCAGATGCCAATGCCACTCATATCCATTCCTTAGACATCTGTCTCACCATTGCCTTCAATCTGCAAACAAAACAATTTAGATGTTTTCCTAGGCTCTTTATATCCATAGCAGTTCACTCTAAAGGTCAGGCCATTTCCAAACAAAGATTCTCTAAAAGGATGGCTTTTATCATGTACTAATTTGAATCACTATTGAACCAAGACTTGGATGCCCATGAAGTTCTCAATTAAATTCTGCATCATCTGGAATCTGTTTAAGCAAAAAGCTCTTTGTTAAAAATGTTGCCCCATCCAACTGCTCTTTGTTGCAATTAGAGCAACATTTCTGATAACTGATTATGAAACAGTGGTTCTCCAAGTCTTGCATAATCCCGTGGTCCCAAAGAGCATGTTTCAACAAGAAGGTTGTACAGATAAAACGTTTTCCCACCTTGTACGACAAACCTCACTCTGAATGTCACACTTCCAAGTTTCAATTTAAAGAGAGAGCATTCTACATGTAAGGTGCAGGGAATTGTTTAATTAGCATTACTGAACTTTATAAGTAGTTGTTAATGTTATAGTCTTGGCTGTACCATGAAAATAGCTCTGTAAGGCTTGCTTTTCAGATCCCAAGCATTTAGTGAAACACTGAAGGTACCAACTCCAGCACATGTTAGCAGTACAGAATTTCCTGTTCAACCTCCCCCCCCCACTATAATGACATACAAGACATCATAACACTAAACTAAACATAGAAAACCACCTACTGGTGGAGATGCTGTCTGCACTAATCTGTCTGTAGTAGTCCTATTTAGTTGAATAAGAATTCAGAATGGTAACACCAAAGAAATCTGGGTGGTTTGCCATCGTTGGAGTTTCTGTATTGGTCTTTCAGCTCAAGTCTTATATTCAGGCATAGATACATCACTCCTATTCTTATTTTACTAAATGTCATAAATGTTGGCTTTATTTCTTCTGAATTTTGTCCTGGCTTCTGGTTTTTCCCTCTATTAACTGCTAGATCATATTCTCCTTGCTGCTAGCTAGTCCATCTCTTGATTATGTCCAGGGCTCGCCAAGCAGTGGCGAGCCCTGCTCGCCAGCCACACGGAACTTCACACTGCGCATGCGCTGACCGTGCTGCGCGGCCACGCTGGGCTAAAATCTACTCACCATGGGCGAATAGATTGCCTTAATTGTCGAGCTCTGATTATGTCCTGGTTCTTTTCCTGTGTTGCGAAGTTTCAGCCATTGGGTAGAGTAGATTTGGAACTTATATTTTCAAATACATCTGACTAATGGCATTGTGTTTTGTGCATACTGATATCAGAACAATGGATGTTGTGGTAATCAAAATATGAGCAGCTATAGTGATCTGATGTCTAAATGTTGCTAGTTGGAAAATACAATAATGCCACTTCGGCAAGTTTGTAAAAGCATAGAACATCAATCTGTGTGTCTGAAAGTACTGTACATAGACTTCAGCATTCTGATTAAAATAATTATTTCCATATATTCCTAATGAATTTCTACTATAGATGTATATGTGATCGCAATGCAGTTAAATATGTATACTAAATTCAAAAGCAGAGTTGTACTCACAGTGGTCTTAAGAGTTTTATTTAGATTCTTGAAAAATAGCTAAATAATGCAATTAATGTATTCTTAAAAAATTATAGATTTCTATATGGTATATAGTAGAGCTTGTCAAAAAATGGGTGGATCTGTTTCTTTGAAATTTTCTGAGATTTTGCGAAAGAGGCTCATTTTGAAGAAAGCCATAATGTTAAAATGAGTAAAAATTCCAGAATGGCGTTTAAAAAGAAAAATTCCATTTTGGAGTGTTAAGATGGATTTTTTTGGCTTTCTGCATGCCTTGAGCCAAATGGACTTGCCATTTTTGTGAGCTTTTCTAATCTGAGATAAGGAAACCATTGTTTTATTTCATATTAAGATACCTCACTCAACCTTTTCCTTTATGATTTATAAACAATGTTGTAAAAAACTATATGATGTCTCAGTAGGACTGAACAAACGCAAAGTCAGGGTGTGTTTAGACTACAGGGTTTTTTCGAAAAAAGTGGCCTTTTTTCGAAAAAACTTCTCCTGCATCTAGACTATTGCCACGTTCTTTTGAAAGTAAATCGAAAGTACGCAGCAGTTTTTTCAACTGTGGAAAACCTCGTTTTATGAGGAATAACACCTTTTTTCGAAGGTGCTCTTTTGAAAAAAGGGCGCTATATGTAATGCAAACTGTGCTTTTTTGAAAGAGAGCATCCAGACTGCCTGGGTGCTTTCTTTTGAAAAAGCGGCTTGCTTTTTCGAAAGTACTGGTTGTAGTCTAAAAGCTCTTTTTCGAAAGAGGCTTTTTCGAAAGTATTTTTCAAAAAAGACTCTTTCGAAAGAGGTTTGCAGTCTAGATGTAGCCTCCAAGAAAGTGCTTGCCCCAGGATCTTAGATCTAGTATAAAACCTAATAAATTAGCGATGTGGAAGCCGAAACTGACACTGGCCCAACTCCTCTAATATATGCAGGGGGGACCGTAACATATTTTCTTGATGGGAACAACTTTTAATCCCTGCTTAGTTGGACAAGATTCAAACTGGTGATCTACCATTGAAAAGCTCCATACCTCATCACCAATGTCCCAATCTGTCTCAATCACTAACATTACACTACTTGAGAATGAAGCTTGCTTTTTGGAAAGATGTTTATTGCTGTGCCTTTTTTTGTTAATGATATTCAGGGTATTCCATTCAGCACATATGCAAAATTTCCTACATGTTGCTCTCAATATCAAGCAAACTGCTACACACTGTTCTTAAAGAAGGGGCTCCCTTTAACAAAAATATAAACAGTAAAAGTGCAACATCTCAATTAATGTGTAAATATGCTTTCCAATGTGATTATATTGTACTATGAAACAACTATAAATTTCTACAATTATTTCAGTGACCTTTAAACTAACTTTTATACATATATGTATATTTTTCACCCCCTGCTGGGTCATTAAAAGGATTTAAACCTACAAACTTCCAATCCCCACAGAGAAAATCTTCAGCTGTAGGAAAGGTGGTATAACTGGTAAGAGAGAGGGCATGCTATTATTGTTTATGTGGATCATCGCATACAGGGAGATGCAGCAAACACATTGCCTTTGGGTCTTACAAGTGTCTGAGACTGAGGTGGCACTCTTGGTGTCAGTGTACATTTAACTACTGTCTCAGAGCAGATTATAATCTGGTGGTTACAGACAATTTAGCCAAATATAACAACACCTCTGCATGGATCATATGAGGTGATTGATCCTGCATGTGCAAACATGAGCTTCTACCACATCAACTAAAGAATCAGATCTCTTGTAACAGAAGTAGTAGCAGAGTCATAAGCCTCTGAATGTAGTCTAGCTAAACAGAACCATGGTTTATATAAGTTGATTACAGAAGTATCTATTTTTCCACCTGCCTTTTGAAAGTTTATGTGGAAAAGTAAATCCGGCTTGGCTCTGGCAGAAGTGATTCAGTACAAGCTCTCATTTATGTTACTTTGGAAATAAGTGAATGATAGTTACTTCCCACTATTGAAGCATGAGAGCTTGCCTCATAATAATGATTGCAAAGAGCACATAAACATTAGCAGTAGTCTAGAAGTGTTGGGGATTCTGGGCTTCCAATTTAGTGCAGCAGTTTGTAGATTACAGAGCATTGTGTTGAGGTGTGTCTCTCTTCACCCACTCTCCCAACATCTTGTGATAGCTAAAATTTTTGCATCCATGCAAGAGTTGGAAATGATGACTCTTTGTTTCTTGAGAAGCTGTATTAGGGTGATTACATCACTTTTCTAAAGTTAGCAACATCAGAATCATTCCTGAATTGCCTGTTTAGAAAAGTAATTAATATTAACTAAAATTTATTCCAAAATTACAAGGATGGTTCAGAATTTTAATTTTAATATAGTTCATAGAATGTGTGGTATAATGAATTATAATTCTGAAAATAGTAATGAAAAAGTTAATTCCTGAATAACATTGTGTTTTGATGTTTTCATTTTGCCTAGATGCAGATAGTGAAATTACCCCTGGTCGAGTCAGTTATGTTTCTTCAAAGAGCTGCTCCATTGTTGATGACAACTATGGAAGCATGGCATCAAACATTCCTGCCCTGGAGTTGATGGCTCTGTATGTAGCAGCTGCCATGCATGATTATGATCATCCAGGTCGTACAAATGCTTTTCTAGTGGCTACAAATGCACCTCAGGTAGGAAATGTTTTACTGGAAAGCTAACATTAATATGTCCAGTTTTTTTTTATATGCAAGACAAATAATTAACATACATTTTACCCTGCAAATCTTTTTGTGTAGGAGTTGGTTGCCTCATTTCATAATATCATTCTTTTCGCTTAAGAGGTGAGAAGGGAAATTAATTTACAATTACCTTTATAATACCTTTTAACCTGAAAAATCCCCCACTGGTTTCTTTGGGTGTGTATAAAATCATTTTAAGTGACAAACTTGTAAACAATAAAATAAATAACTGCAACCAAGTCTAAGAGCATGGGTGGCTTGTATGCTAGGCAGGAGAAGGCATTGTCTTCCCAAACTGCCAGCCTGGCCCCACCCACACTCCACCCCTAGAAAACGCACTGTATGCATCCTGGGGACAGAGCGTTGCTGCCCCCTGAGTGCCTATTCATTTTTTTGAAACTTTACGTTTGTCAGTGGTGCTCTTTGTCATTATTTCAAAACAAAATTTCTTAGTTTTTATTCTTTTGTGTTGTATAGGTAGCTTTTTAAATGTAAACTAATCAGGGAGTTTGAAGTGCAGGGTGAGGGGTTGCTAAGAGGAGAACATAACATGAGAGAGAACGAAGATTCTTTGCTATCTAAAAATGAAGATGAATATGAGAAACTAAAAGGAAGGAAGATGCTTTTCAAATAAGCTGAAATGTACAACAAAAGGAAAGATGAGAGATAGTAAGAAAACAAATAGAAGACAGGAATAATAAAAGGAAAAATAGTATTATGGATGAAAAAGGGATGAAAAATTGAAAAAAAAAGGAAAAAATAAGATACTTTTAAGTTGGTTAATTATATGTATTTGTACCTCCTACATATTACTTTATTACCCTTACAGTTGTCCTATAGATCTATGAAGAAAGTGGGATCAGATTGTTATTTTGAGTATGTACTTTGTCCAGCAAGACATCGAAGAAGAATGTTTTGTTTTAGAAAGAGGTTTTTGTTCTAAATTTTTGTTTTTGACAAGTGAGTACTTCCAAAAAATCCCCTTAATAACAGTAATATATCTCATTTTTAACTGTGTTTCATAAAGATGAAAGGAACATGTTCTACTACTTAGTTTGCTTTTGAACTATAAACAATAGATTCTATTTTAATTTATATATGAAGTGATTGTACTCTATACCAGTGTTGATTCATAACAAATTCTCTTTTCTGTTATCTGTATCAGTCCAAATGTTGAGGGATAGGGTTTTTTTGCCAGCACATAGAGACAATACACTGAGTGGTATCCCAGTCTGCGCTGCTTCCTGCAGCTCCCATTGGCCAAGAACAATGATGTGTGACCAATGGGAGCTGCAATCGCCCATACCTGCGGAAGCGCAGGTAAATATAGCGGCTGCAGTCCACCAGAGGCTAACCCTAGCAAACCACTGCCATTTTTCCCAACTCTGATAAAAGGGCCTGATATATGCTTCCCCACCAATTTTTTCAATATCATCTACTCTGAGAAAACACAAGCAAGTTGCAGCAATGTTGACATTAAAAACACCAGATTGATCCAGATAATTTTGGTTCCCAGTGCTACTGAGGCTGTTGTACAGACTTCAGTAATGCTTCCACTAGTCTCAGATTTGATCTCTGAAGACATTAGAATGACCCTTCATCTAGGCCCATAATCTCTGCATCTTAAAGCTTGGCTGCTAACTGCTTAATTGATGTTAAGATATCTTGCTCCAAATATGTCCAAAATATTTTGATAAATAGTAGGAAGGAGTCCCTTAAGGGTTACAATGCCAAACAGAAACAATTCCTAATTTGGACAAACAACATTATGTCTCAGCCTTCTTAATAGACACTCCATTTGTTGTTTTCACTAAAATGATCTGCCTTTTTTTTAATTAGTTCTATGAAAGTACACCTAGCAGGTATATCTGTCTGACATCCACAAATTCAAAATTGCACAATATTTTTATACCCTATAGTGTTTCTGAAGGAGTTTATGCATTTATTCCCTACAGTTAGAAAACCCCCTCACCCTTGAATGTTATCTTAACGCAATATTAGCAAGTCTAATGGGATTTCACATTTGAATCATTAGCTAATGTTTGTTGCATCATCTTTGCATGAAAGCACTGTTTTTGATTGCCATCATTTCTGCTTGTGGGTGAAAGAAATTCAAGCTTTAATGGCAGGTCAACTACACATCATCTTTCATAGAAATGAGGTCTCGGGCCACATCCAAGATTCCTTCATAAAGTTGTATCTGACTTCCTTATTAATCAGAACATTCATTTACCTGTTTTCTTTCTGAACCTCATACTAGTGATTCTGAAAGAAAATGTCATTACTTTTCTTTAGCTAAAATCATTTAGTCTCTTCAAGGTTATTTATAGCCTATACTGAAAGAGTCAAGTGGAAAATAATTTCTTCCTAGAAATTATCAAATGCATTACAGAATACATCAGACTATGTTATCAGATAGTGAAAGGCCAACCCCCCTAGTCAGATAAAAGCTTACTCTAGTAAAGCTCAGGATGGATCTATAGTTTCTTTCAGAAATATCCACAACTCTGAAATTTGTAGAGCACCATCTATATTCAATTCATATGTTCATAAAACACTGTTATTGGGGAGGGTTGCAGACTGACACTTACTTTGGCAAAGAAATTATTTATTTGTTGTTTGTCTGGGACTCTGATTACTCACCTCCTAGCACATGAACATTGGTTAGGAAGCATAGAGTGAAATACATATAGGCAATCACTTAAGAAAAAACTGTTACTTTCCAGGCCAATGTGTTCTTCGAGGTGTTTGGATCAAATGGATCTGGATTCCAATTGGTAAAGGAGCTTGAGAGGTGGTTGTTTGCCCTTGAAGATATGGCAGGTGCGAGGGCAGCTGGGATGCAGTCATGGGCCTAACTGTTCCAATATCTGAGGGTGCATGCATACCAAGAATAGGGACCCATTGTGCTATGCAAACAGAGGAATTGATGGTCCCTGCCCAGAAGGCTAAACTCTGTTTTTATGACCATGAGAGCATTAAATGATCTAAGATTTACAAAAGAATGAATCAAAACTTTGCTGCTGTTCCATTATGGACATCATCTTGGGCTCATTTCCTGGGTATTATTTAAGCTCTGAATCAATGACCATATTCTGCTCCAAATTGTGACATAATAGAAATGATGGTAAACTCGAGGTTGTCTAAGTTGTGTGAAAGAAATGGAAATCAACTGGAGAGAGAGAGGAAGTAAATCGGGTTTGCTGTGTCTCACGATAGCTTTGCCAGACCCTCCCTCCTGCTGCAGGGAGGCAAAGCCTGCAAGCGGCAGAACAAGAGAGGGAGGGAGAGGCAGGCAGCTGTTTCAATAAGTTCTAATCAATTGCACTGCCCCGGCAACAGGCTCGCAATCTACCTTTCCTCTCTACTGCCTGGAGGAGGGGGGGCAGGGGAAGGTAGGGGCCAGTGGGGGAGGGGCTGAGGGTGTGCCAAACCCTCCCTCCTGCTGCAGGGAGGCAAAGCCTGCAAGTGGCAGAACAAGAGAGGGAGGGAGAGGCAGGCAGCCCTTTCAATAAGTTCTAATCAATTGCACTGCCCTGGCAACAGGCTCGCAATCTGCCTCCCTGCGGCAGGAGGGAGGGTTCAGAATCCCCCTGCCCGCCGACCCCCTACTCTCCCTCCCCCCTCCCTCCTCCAGGCAGTAGAGAGGAAAGGTAGATTGCGAGCCTGTTGCTGGGGCTGCTGCTCCTTGCGGCTGTTCCCCTCCAACGAGACCCGCCCCTGCCAGAGTACCACCTGATAGTCCGGCATTTCTGATAATCCGGCACCACCTGGGTCCCAAAGGTGCTGGATTATCGGAAGTCTACTGTATATAGTGTATACAGATATAATTGTGTGTGTGTGTGTGTGTGTGTGTATATAATATATATATATATATAATTTGTTTAAAGATATTAATTTAATTCAGAATATTTTCATTCCAAATCTTAAAGTACATCTACATTGCACAGTACTGGTGGTGAGATAAGAGGTATGTGTAGTTACACGCTATAGTGAAAAGCAATCCGCATCCACATTGTGGATGGTGCGTAGCTTCACATGACAGTGAAAGGCTCTAACAGAGCAGACAGTGGGGAAACATTCTAGAAGCTTACTATTGTCAAACCTGCTGCTGTCATCACAAAAGCATATCTTTGCTGCCAGTCTTTCACTTCAGTGGGGAAGGATCAGGAGAAGGGTGCCAGGAGGACACTACACTGCAAAAAATAGTCATCTAGTTGAGTGCACTGTTTGAGCACATGAAGTTCATCATGAAGGTGCAATATGTGTATCCTTGAAATACCAGGTTTTCAGAAAATCTGACTACATGTTGCAAGAATCAGAGCACTGTGCTGCCATCTATAAATTTAGCCATCACGTTTCTATTGGTTGATATGTCACAGGTCACAGACTGTTTAAAACTTTGTTTTTCTTTAACCTATTTACATTGACTGAACTTGGTGAGGTAAGTCTTTGTTGAAAATTCAGCATCCTAACCCTTTAGTTAAGTTGTTAGAACTCACAGTTCACATGCTTGTGGGGAACCCTTAGAGACCTCAAGCAAAACTAAGGTGACTGGATATCTACTATATATTTGAGTTTGTCTGTGTGTGTGTCTTTTTGTTCAAGTACTACTCTTAAACAGTAAGATCTAGAACCACCAAATTCAGTATTCAGCTTCCTCTTAGCATAACTTAAAGCAAAGTAAGGGTTCAGTTGTGCCAAGAAAATGAGATGTACCTGGAATGGGATTGCCTCTCAGAAAACCACACAGAAAAGAGACTGAATCATCAGACAGGTGAAAGTGGCTGGGGGCGTGCCCCCATCTGGGACTGACCCGACCCTGAGCCTCCCACCTCCCAGGTGCCCTTTGGGTTCCCCCTCTCCCATCCCTCGGATTCATATGGGAATATTGCTGGATCTTCCCCTGTGTCAGGGAGCGAGGGGAAAGTGCAGTTATTCAAGTGATGTGCACTGTGGTTTTCCACTTTAGGTGCTAGTGCTTTCTTGTGCCGGTGATCAGAGATTTTTGATAGCAGGATCCCGCCATGCCACGCGTGCACAGTAGCACTATCTCGTGTCATAGGTGTTCATTGACTGCATGTGTAGTGCGGCGCCTCAGTTCCTTTTCCACCATCCTTGGCAGTACATGGAGCTCCAGCAGAGTTACCCTTGCTTTCGATCTATAACAAAAAATAATTAATTAGTTGAGTTTCCTCACCTTCCAAGTTTTTTCAACTTCTATTTTCTGTTTATCAAAAAAAAAAAAAAAACGAAAGTGTTTTCCTGCCTTTGTAGTCATCCTCTTCATTATGCCTGGCTCCCCAGGCTTCAAGAGGTGAGATTCATGAAGAGATCCAATGCTGGTCTCCAACGGACATTCATCATGTATAAAATGTCTGGGAGAAAGGCCATCTCTCTCAGAAATGCCCACACTGCTCTACCCTTAGAGCATGGCCAAGGCGGGTCAGAAAAAAACACCTTAAGACCTACTTTTATGAAAGGTCCTTCAGCCACCTCATGAGAGCCCTCACCCTCTGAAAAGAACTCAGACAGGAACAAACCTTCCATCTTATCAAAGAAATGTCCCTCTTCTTCATCAGAGAAGGCAACTTCAGAGGCCAAAACATCTCCTGTCAGATCACTACCTCCAGGGTCTACCACAAGAAATGCCAGTACAGTCGATAAGCCCAGCACCTTTGGCACCGTGCCAGGGAAAGATGGCTCCACACATAAGCATGCACAGCCAGAACTGAGGTACAAGACCCACGGCAGTGATGATGACCACAAAGACTCTAGACACAGCATCACAGCACTTTTCGCCCAGCCAAAGGTGCTCCCCTGGGAGTCACAACACACCAGAACCACCTACCCACTGCCTTTGCCCGGATTATATGTCTGACATTGGCCTTACCCACAAACACTGTACTCGGGACACTGGCCACCTTGGGGTGCATGGTCCTCACATAGAAGCCAGTATACGGCATCCTTAACACCAGCAAGGAGACCTATTAGATCTCCCCCACATCAGCCTCAGGAGACCAATCCTATTCCTCCTGAACAACCGACATCTCAGGAGGAGGAGGAACAGAGGTCCCCTGTCCACAATTCATCCTCATCTCTGGATGAGACCATCATCTCCACCACCCCCGCTCCAGAAGATGACCTCAAACAGTTCTAGAAGCTGTTTAAGCACATTGCTACCGCTCAAGAAATAACTCTCCAGGAAGTCCAAGAGAAACAGTATAAACTGTTGAGAATTTTACAACCATTTACATCATCGAAGATTACCCTTCTGATGGATGGGGCAATACTAGAGGCTGCCGACACCACATGGCAGACACAGGAGTCCGTGACCGCCACAAATAAAAGAGCGGACAGGAAATATTTTATGCTGGTGAAAGACATGGACTTTCTTTTTTCTCACCACCCACCTAATTCTTTGGTAGTTGATGTGGTATATCAGAGGTAAAAATACCCAGCGTTTTCCAGTGCCCAAAATAAGGATCACAAGCACCTAAATATATTAGGAAGAAAAGTATATTCGTTGGCAATGCTATAACTCTGTGTAGCCTATTATTCCGCACTATTCGCGGACTATGATCATACAAATTATTCAAAACAGGGTAATCATTAATGGATCTCAAAGTCACAGTGTTGTTTCAGGCCAATTCCACAAGCCAAATACACAGGGAAGGGTTGGAACTTAACTTCATTTACAGGTTTGATTCCTATCAGGGAAGAATGAATAAAGATATTGATTGGCTCGCACACTAATGATTTAACCAAACAAACAATGGGTACTTATAGAGGTGCAAATTGTTCTTATTAGCCTCTTATAACTTGAACAATCCAATTCACTATTTTTTTTCTTTTTTTTTTCTTTTTTCCCCGCCTTCCCTTATTTATTCTTGGATCTAGACTTCTAATACTCCAGTCATCTGAAGAAGTGAGTTGTTACCACGAAAGTTCGTGATACCATCTATGTATTTTGTTAGTCTTTAAGGTGCTGCTAGACTATCCGTTGTTTGTTTTTTTTTCAGTTAGACTAACTCGGCTACCCCTCTGAAGCTTTTGAACGTGCAAGGCACTACATTCAGCCATATGTAGTACAGTTTGCCAGACTTCAGATAAGGTGCCTCCAAGCCTGGTTGACAACGGTCTATATTTCTTCTAGGGACCCTCTAAACAAGATGGCTCCCATTCCCCAGAACATTCTTGTCCCTCCAATGGTAGACGCAGCCACACAATGTGCTCCAAGGAGTTCCTTTCCAACAACCTCCTCTAACAGCTACTATAACTACGGATGCCTCCCTCATGGGGTGAGGAGTACACCTAGACTCGTATACAGTGTAGGGCAAATGGTCTCTTCAAGAGACTAAGTTGCATATCAACCAACGGTATGATATGCATACCAACACTTTGTAACCCACATTCAGAACAGGACAGTCCATATATTTATGGACAACACGATGTATATGCACTATATCAACCCCAAGGGGTAGCACGATCCAACTGCCTGTGTGCTGAAGCTATCAAATTATGGAACTAATGCATACATCACCACATAACCCCACGGACACCTTTCTTCTGGGGGTCCTCAACATCACAGCAAACAACCTGAGCCACATCTTCTCAGACCAACACAAATAGGTGTTAAACACGATATCCCTCCATGAGATGTTTCTAAAGTAGGGTTATCTCTACATAGATCTTTTTATGACCTGTCACAACCTTTTTTGATCTAGAGCAGGCCTTGACAAGGGATCCCTGGGTGATGCCTTCCTTCTGAAATGGGAAGCCCCACTTATCTACGCCTTCCCACCTTTACCACTTATTCCACTGGTGATCCAAAACATTTGCCAGGACCGAGCACAAGTCAGACTGGTAGAACCCACATGGTTAACAGTTTTGGTTTCTGTACCTCAATCGATTAGCTGTCGGCAGCCCCCATGTTTCCATGGTGGTCCAGTCTTTTCTCCCAACATTACAGTCGCACACACCACCTGGATCCAAGAACTCTCCATCTCAAGGCCTGGCTCTTTCATGGCTCTATGATGCTGAAACCTCCTGTTCAAATAGAGTGATACATATATTAATAAATAACTGATCATCTTCCACCATGAGAACTTACACTTGTAAGTGGAAGAGGTTCTCAGAATGGGTCCAACACAAGCACAGTCCTCTCATGTGCCTTTATCAATCATATTGGACTACCTTCTTCAACTGAAAAAATCAGGCCTGCCATGAGCTCGATAAAAGAGTCCACACAGCAGCAGTTGTAACATTCCACGAACCTCTGTCTGTGTCTATGAAGGTAGTCTGTCTCGTAGCAATAACATTAAGTACACGTATGGGTGAAATAGCAGCTCAGATGACCTAACCCCCCTTCTGTAAGGACAAGGTGACATTAAGACCCCACCCCAAGTTCTTCCCGAAAGTCCCAACTTCTTTTCATATAAATGAACCGATAAACTTACCTGCTTTCTTTCTAAAATTGCATGAGAATGTGCTTCAAGCCTCCTGGCATGTTCTGGATGTCCGATGAGCCATCGCTTTCTACCTCAACATGACAAAGCCTTGGAGAAAATCCCCGAGTCTCTCTGTTTACATTGCAGAAAGATGTAAAGGATAATCAGTTTTCTCTCAAAGGTTATCAAAGTGGATCTCTTCATGTATCCATATCTGCTACACCATTCACAACAACCAACCACTTGCGACCATCACAGCTCACTTCACCAGATCGGTAGCATCGATAGCATTTCTCAATAGCATCTCCCTCACAAACATTTGCAGAGTGGCAGTGTGATCATCAGAGAACACATTTGCCGGACACTATAACATCTGGCCCGATCCCAACTACATCTGTGGAACAGGCAGTACTATCTACTATATCTGGAATGAGGCTTCAAAGCTCACCTCCTCAGCTGGACACTGCTCTTTAGTCACCTAAAGTGGAACACCCACAGGAACATCACTCAAAAAAGAAGAGAAAGTTACTCACCTTGTGCAGTAACAATGGTACTTTGAGATGTGTCCCCCTGTGGGTGCTCCACTACCCTCCCTTCTCCGCTACTTTTGAGCCTCCTCGGCGCTATAGCCAAGGTAGAGAAGGAACAGAGGTGCTGCATGCGCAGTCAGAGGGCATCAATAACACAAGACGGTGCCACTGTGCACACATGGCACAGCAGGGCACTGCTATCAAAAATCTCTGATTGGCACAAGGACACGCTAGCACCTAAAGTGGAGCACTAACAGAGAGACACATTTCCAAGAACCATTGTTACTGAACAAGGTGAGTAACTTTCTCTTTGCTGTATTCCTCACTCTGACTGGAGAGCACAGGGCAGATGAAGTTGGACCTGCCCCAGATGAAGTACATGCACCCTTCCCCCAGCTGTACCTGCTGAAGCTGCAGCAGCCATGGACAGGTGCTACTCACCAGGCCTGATGTGGTGAGGTAGTCCTCTCTCACCGGGACAGCCTATGTTCTGAACCCATCCTCCCCAGCCCTATCCCAGAACAATGATTCAAAAGAAACATGTAAATTTTCATTTTATTTTCAAAAAAACAAAAATTCATTTAAGGACCCGAGCAATGCCGGGTAAATCTTCTAGTGTTTGAACTTTACAACATAAATAATCTTTCAAGCCTACTTGTACAATTTAGAGGTAAATTATGGGACAAGCCCAATTTAAAAAAAATCCATTGTAGATTGCATTATATCAGGGGTGGGCAATAATTTTTTGGTGGGTGTCACTCTAAGAATTTGGCAAGTGGTCAAGGGCCGCACTCTTCCATTATATTAATGGAGGAGGTGTGGAGGTTTGGGATGGAGTTTGGGTGCAGAAGGGAGGTTGGGGTAAGGAATTGGGGTGAGAGACCTGGGAGGGAGTTTGGGTAAAGTAGGAGATTGTGACCTGGGGGCAATGGAACGGAATGCAGAAGGGGGTGCAGGGATTTGGGTTGTGCCAGGGACAGATTTAGGCTGTGACTAGGGATAGCAGATTGGGGTGCAAGTTCTGGGAGGGTGTTGTAACCTGAGGAATGGTGTAGGAGGAGATGCAGTGTTTGTGACGGTGTTTGAGGGCTGGAGCAGGGGTGCAGAAAGTTTGGGTTACATGGTCAAGGAGTAGGGGAGCAGAGGGTTGGAAAGAGGGAGAGGCTGGGATGCCAGAAACAGGTTCTGGCTGGGAGAACTTGCCAGCCAGCCAGCAGCCCAGCAGGTTCCTTAGCCAGGGTCCCTGCCTTCCAGCCCCTGTATGTGCTCAGGGGACCTGCAGGAGCCATGTTTACTGCTCTGAACTGAATGCTTGAAGCCTGAAGGAGGAAGGGCACTTCACATGCTGCCTGTCCTGCGAATAGGCACTGCTATTGGCCAAAACCAGCCAATAGGAACTCCTGGGGGAGGGAGCACCAAGAGAAGCCTGTCTCCCCTGCCTACTGGCCCTCAGTATTCAGAAACACACACGTGACCCTGAATGCTGAGCGGTGGGGTGAGGCAGGCAAGGAGTTGGCTGAGACTGTTGTGGTCTGGATCCAGCCCGCAGATCATCTTTTGCCCAACCCTGTCTTATATCTTTTGTTAATTCGACTGTAGAAATTTTACTCCACTTGATTTTGAAAGGATGATTCTTTGGTACATGCCACAGACTTTTCACACTATTAAAATGAATGAATGTCTAGCTGTTTTTCCATAGAGGGCTTTGGCTTTTTCTTGAACTTTATATACAAGTTATTAAATTCGTTTGTTAATTGGTTACAATTTCATTAGCTCTTTCATTCAAAAATGTAACATTTTCTTTTCAGAATTCAGCACTACAAATAAAGCTTGTCTCTGCAGAATATTGATTTTTTTTTCTTCCTCAGCTAAGATTCCATTTTAGTAATTGCTGGCAAGGAATTAAGCTAAAGCATAAGTAGACTGTTCCACCATTTTTTACAAATGGTAATTATTCTATAAGGAGACAATAGAGAGAACTATTGAAAACTAACCATTTCATTCAAAAAAGCCAATTTAATCAAACTTTTCACTTAGGAGTACCATTTTAAAGGTAAAAACTCCATGAAAATATTTTGCTTAAAAATGTGCCTTGTATTAAGCTCTGCATCTTGTTTTCTTTCTTCCTTCACACGAGGCAGACATATTAGTTCATATTCGCTGCAACAACCTGTCAAATAAGATGAAGCATATTTTATACTTATCTACATGTTTTTCTTAATGGTAACAACTTTACAGTAATATTCACAGAATTAAAAGTAAGATTGGTCTGATTTTTTTATTTCCCTGTGCATGTCTGCCTACAAAGAACGCTTTTGTTTAGTTCAGCCTCCAAAATTAAAATGCAACTTAGTGTTTTTGGTATCAGATGCATTAAACAAAAATTTCACTATTTAATTTTTCCCCTTTTCTTCTTCTAATTTTGAATCTTAAATCACCTGTTTTGTTTTTCATTACTTTGTAGGCTGTGCTGTACAATGATAGATCAGTCCTTGAAAACCATCATGCTGCATCTGCATGGAATCTCTTTTTATCTCGACCAGAATACAACTTTCTACCTAATCTTGAACATGTGGAATTCAAACGGTTTCGTTTCTTAGTTATCGAAGCAATCCTTGCCACAGATCTCAAGAAACATTTTGATTTTCTTGCTGAATTTAATGCCAAGGTTTGTTACTCGCGTTAATGCCTATGGTCAGCTGATTATGAGATCATACTGCTATCAGCATTGTTGCTAAAAGTTTATTGCTTTTACAAGATTATATTTAAAGAACTTTGAACTATAAATGTCAGCACGAGTAGGAAGCATGTCCTACATAAAAGAGAGTACTTACAGTCTTTTAAAAATCAAACCATTGAACATACCCTAACATACTAGTATAGAATTCCACTCTGATACTTAACATTTCCTTTTTTATATATTTTCTTTATCAGTAGAAACCTTCAATCCTGTTATGCATTAAAATACTAGTTTTTAGGAATCAGAATATCCTGTGAATACATATATTTAATATACATTACAATTTCTCTGTTTCACACATAATAGGAGATATAAACGTTCTAAATTAGTGTTTGGATATGAAATAAAGTATCAGTTTTCTAGATGTCAACTATAGATTGCCATTAGATTTAGAAAAGAATGAAACCAGTTCAGTGGATATATATAAAAATTATGACTTTTAAGTGAAAAAAAGCTTTAAAGATTAAAAAATGGGAAATAAAAATAATACAGTGCAGTGACAATGCACACTTACTGCAGTACAGCCCCATAAAGAAGGGAAAACTGATAGCACGTAATTACAGTTCTTTCAATTTGTCACTTTTTTTAAGCTCAATCATCTTCCTGTCTAGTTACATGCTGCTGGTAACATCTGATCTCTCCATTTTTAATAAAGCTCTTTATGATTACACAACACAAAACATTACAGAAAAATTAACAGTAAAGGACAATATTTGCAAAGATTTAAAATGTAATCAAATAATAGCTTTTTTTACAAGAGTATCTAACATTGATTAAAAATATGTTGTTCAAACAGGTCAATGATATAAACAGTCATGGTATAGAATGGAATAATGAGAATGACCGCCTGCTAGTTTGTCAAATATGCATCAAATTGGCAGATATTAATGGCCCAGCAAAAGTTAGAGATCTGCACCTGAAATGGACAGAAGGCATTGTTAATGAATTTTATGAGCAGGTAGGTATAGAAAGAATTATTTAAAAAAATAAACTGGTTGATGATAAATTATAAATTTGGAGGGTACACAGCATTTGCTATTTGGGAATGATTCCTTTTTTTACTGCTTTTATTTCTGTTTCTAAAAAAATGACTCCTGTCATAACTTTATTGTTAGCATTTTTTAAAATTTCTATTGAATGTGTTAAGAGCTTGAAAAAAATCCTACCAATTTTATCTGTTTCTCAAACATTAGTTTATTTTTCTCCTTTGTTTAGAATGATGCTGTTAAACAAAAATATTAGATTATGCAATAGGAAGTTGCCTCCACCGAGTCCCCACTTTTACACCTCTAATGGAGCTATATGTGTGAGTAGAGTTAGGCATTTGCATTAGTGTTCACAGGATCAGGGCTAGAAAGTCTAATGTCCCTGACAGCTTCAGAATCATAGTAGTCCCATACAGGAGAGGGCAACATATTGCTGCATATGCACAGTGAATGCACAGTATATGCTTGTCAAACTCACATAAAGGAAAAGGCTTATAAAAAGGCTCACCTCCTCCTCCTCCCAGAAACAGATATCTGAAATGATCTCCAACCAGAGATTTGTTTTGGGAGGAGAGGCATAATCTGCTCAAACACACAATAATGTTGCTGGCAATTTAAGTTTCTCTTTCAAGAGATAGTCTGTATTGTATTCTATTGAGGGTTACATATGCACAGCGTTAATCTGGAATCGGAAAATAGTGTCCATTAGTACACGGATGTGCCCTGTTTCACCTAATGCTTATGTCTGAGATGATAAATGGTGGGACAGACTTACCACATTTCCAGTTCCTTCTTACCACTCTGTGATCCAGTTTGGAACCGTCAGTGTCCTTGTCTTTCATGCACTTCTAAAAAGCATAATTGTAAATAGTTGTATCAGTTTTAATTATAGTTGTACTACAGTAGAACCTCAAAGTTACAAGCTGACCAGTCAAACACACATGTCATTTGGAACTGGAAGTACACAATCAAGCAGCATTAGAGACAAAATAAAAGACAGTATTGTGTTAAATATAAACTAAAAAAAATAAAGGGAAAGGAGCATTGTTCTTCTGCATAGTAAAGATTCAAAGCTGTATTAAGTCAATGCTCACATGTAAACTTTTGAAAGAACAACCATAACGTTTTATTCAGAGTTACAAACAATCTTCATTCCAGAGGTGTTTGTAATTCTGAATTTCAGAGTTTACTTTAGGTTTATTTATTTCCTAGTTTTAAGAGTTACTAGTTTTAACAGTTTTAGAGGAGACTTCAAGGATTTTTCCCTGTCTCTCCTTCCCTGCCTATAACAGACTATGCCCAGAATTCTGAGATTTAAACTCTTGCCTGTGATCCTTCTTGGTCAGTGACAACCACGAAAACTTCCTCTACTGCCTGGAAGAAGCTCACATCACAGCTATGTTCACTATGTGCCAGTCCTTTCACAGCTGAACTAGAAGTTTCTCATGGAGATGGCATAAAACCACATTCAGATCCAGGCTTGGTTCAGTGCTACAACATCTGACTCTGGTGCTAGCAGAATGAGCCCCACAATCCCCATGCTGAGGCCTTGTTGGGAGATTAGGAAACACTCAGATGAGCAGATTGGCCAGATGGAGTTCATTCCCACAGGTACAAGAAAATGACCACTATTTAGTGAGATCCAGTGATTCCGGGCAATGAAATATCAGTATTGCCTTCTCTGGCACCTCCTAAGACATGAGACCTTCCCATTCAAGGAAAAAGTTCAGAACCAAGCAGGAAGTTCTGTCTATGTAGCTTCACCCCAGGATGTCTACACATTGCAGATCCCAAATTTTCTCCTTGATCAGGCCACTCAACTTTCACAGAAATCATATGCCCACTATGGGATGTGCCTAAGGTACGGGATATCCTGCCCTTCCCACATATATTCTATTTGCTGTTTCAACAGCTCAGCCATTAGAACAGCAGTTTGTCTTTTCCTCTTCCAATGAATTGTAACTAGAAGAATCAATTCTATCACACTTCTCCTATGCATCATTGTGAAGACCAGCATACCATGGGACCAACTACCGTCTCATCCTTTCCAGAGTAACTGGTAGCCCATGGCATGGGGACTCTGCAACCTACTGCAGAGCCAGCTTATTGGCCATATTGGGGATCCTGAGTGCCTACCTGATCCACAAGAGAGCTGTCACCTGCTCTTTTCCCACCAGAGATCCATCAAGCAAGCCCTTGAATCTGATAGCAGAGGAACAATTTTATACCACAGCCCCAGCAGTTCCGCTGGAGTTGGCTAGATTTCCATCCTCCTCACCAGGTGAGGTTATGACTATATCATCCCCTTTCCTACCAGGTGACTCCAGGACTTCAGGAAATTCCAAGAGATTTTCAAAGTCTTGTTGGGGGTTTCCAAATCCCATTGAAAGAGATCCAAAACTCACAGCATAAACATTCTTCACACCTCAGGACAGGCAAAAATAGTAATGCCAATCAGTGAAGCCATATTAGAGTCAGTCAGGATAGTGGGGCATGTGGATAATAGAGACACGCTATTACAGTCCATCCAAAGGATCGAATTCTTCTTCCTCTTGTCTAGCTCCAAACTCATTGGTAGTTCCAGCTGCTGCACATAGAGCTAAACAGAAACACTCAATCTATACCCTGATGCTTTCCTTTTTGGTCTACCAGACATTCTGGAAAGGAAAGTCTTCTTTTCCTCCAGATTACTGTTCAGAATAGCCAATTATAAGAATTATTGGCTAATTTTAACTTCCTATTTTATACTAAATTCGAGGAATTCACTAATACCCTCCCAACAAGATTGTGCCTATATTCAGGCCCTCACTGAGGAAAGGAAACTCATAGCAAGAACTGCCCTCCAGTCTGCAGTAGCTGCAGATGATATCTCCTCCAGGGCCAGGACCTACGACTATCGTGATGTGTAGGGAGTCCTGGCATTGTGTATTTAGTTTTCCTAAAACATCATTAAGGACCTCTCCTTTGACAAATCTCATTACTTCGAACAGAAGACAAATGAGTCTTTGCGTACACTGAAAGATTTGAGGGTTACCCTTCACTTGCTGAGCATCTCCACTGCTGACCTGAAATGAAAGTTCTACCACCTGTCATCCACCCAATGGTATAGACCAATGTTTCTCAACCACTGGTACTTGGAGGTACTTGAAAGAACTATGGGGGATACGTCACCACAACTGAAATTTGGAGAAAACTGAATTTTGGTTTACGTTTTACAGCTCTTTATTTTTTTTTTGTACTTTTTAGACCCAAAAATTTCATCGCTCACCTGGCTACGATTAAGTTGTTTAAACAAATGTGTTGCAATGGTAGAAAAAATTGTGTATCTGAAAACTGTAGGTTCTGGGAGTACTTATAATTTAAAAAAGGGGTTATTTTTTTAAAGGGTACTTCCCTGCTTCCTGCCCCTTCTCCTCCCCCCCCCCCCCCCCCCATCCCCTATTTTTTTTTATGTCTGAAATCCAACTACAAACCAAGTACTGTTTTTGACACAGGCTCAAGACCCAACAATTCTTATACCCCATGAGCCTTCCATTCTCCAGGAGGTTAATGCTTTTTCCACATTTGGGGTACGTCTAGACTACAGGCTTTTGTCGACAGAAGTTTTGTTAACTGATACTGTCGGCAAAGCTTCTGTCGACAAAGAGCGTCTAGACTGCAGCCAGTTCTGTGGACAAAGCAAGCCGCTTTGTCGACATGACAGTGTAGACGCAAGGGACGGTGTAGATGCAATAACGCCTTCTGTCGACAGAACTCTGTCAACAAAAGGCATTATTCCTCGTAGAATGAGGTTTACCGCCGTCGACAAAACTGCTGAGTTCTGTCAACATTATGTCGACAGAACTCACTGGCAGTGTAGACGCAGGTATAGTTTTGTCGACAAAAGTCCACTTTTGTTGACAAAACCCTGTAGTCTAGACATACCCTTGGAGTCTATAACAACAGACAAATGGGTAATGAATCAATCATATAGCCAGGGTGGATGACAGTTTATAATATTACCTCCTCTAAACCCCTCCTCCCCTTTCAGAGACAACTCTCACAACATTATTTTTGTCCAAGAGGTATTTATTACAAAAGGGAGCAATAGAAAATACTGACACCGTCCTACACTTCTCCAGAGACTCACGCACAACGTTGAGGACCTTGGGGGATGTACACTCCTCCCTTCAGGAGACGCCGATACACGCCATACCAGTACAGGTACGACTATTCTTACATCAGACATCAATGGCAGCAATAACAACAACAACAGAGGAGCTTTGATAATCAACACTCTTGCCAGAAACCCCAGCAACGTCGCAACAGGAATGGCCATGGCCAAATGGGCCCCAATAAAGCAGCAAGTTTAATGCTTTGGTTGGTCGGGGGCGCACAGACAGTCATAGGCAACTTCACATATCAGTCTACTCACGTCTTCCACCACCAGTTGAGGCCCTTTTTCCACCAATGGGCATCAATAACCACAGACAGATGGGTGCTGGAAATTATTCAAACGGGCTACACCATCCCCTTCATTTCCATTCCTCCCACCTCCTTCCCCACCCTGTCCCTTTACAGGGACCCCTCTCACGAGGTCCTCCTGCGAACAGAAGTCGACTGCCTACTCCTTCTGGGAGTTATAGAGACGGTCCCGAACGAATTCAGAAACAGGGGCTTCTACTCCCATTATCTCCTCACCCAGAAGAGATCCAGAGGTTGGCGACCCATACTAGACGTCCGCCGTTTGAACAAATTCCTGCACAAAGATTCAAAATGATCATGTCTGCCATCATTCCTGCACTGGAACATCACGACTGATTTGCTGCCCTCGACCTCCAGGACGCCTATTTCCATGTTGTTATCCACCCCTCTCACAGGAGATTCCTATGCTTTGTCGTCGGCGAGGACCACTACCAATACAAAGTCCTATCCTTCGGGTTGTCCTACGCCCCCACGGTATTCTCAAAGATCCTGGCGGTAGTCGCAGCCTTCCTCCAACAACAAGGAATAATCATCTTTCCATACTTAGACTGCCTCCTCAAGGCTCCTTCTGCCTCCGAAGTTCTTCACATGATCTATCTCACCAGACGAACCTTCCACACCCTTGAGCTCCTTCTCAACAACCAAAAGTCTGTTTTGCGCCCAACTCAGGACTTGGAGTTTATAGGGGCTCTCATGGACTCGGTTGTAGGCAGGGCCTCCCTGCCCTTACACCATTTTCAGTCCATTCAGGACCTCATGCAAACCATCACCAGCAGTCCAACCATTCCACTCATAGCCTGTCTAAGACTGATGGGCCATATGGCCGCCACAACATACATGCTTTGATACGGCAGACTGCACTTCCGCGCCCTCCAATACTAGCTGACGCTGGTTTACAGCCGCATCAGACACGACCTCCACAGACCAGTAATGCCTCCTCTTTCAGTTACACAGTCGTTCTTATGGTGGACCAACTGGCAAAATCTGTTATCTGGCGTACCTTTTCGCCAACAGCACCTGTATCACCACATTACAACAGATGCTTCCTTACTAGGATGGGGAGCCCACATGGGTCCCTTTTCAGCACAGGGCCAATGGTCACAATTGGAGAAGCATCTGTACATAAACCTCTTAGAGCTACGCGCAATTTCCAGTGCCTGCAAATGTTTCTGCGCACATATCCAGAACACCATGGTGAGAATAGCCATGTACTATGTCAACCGTCAGGGCAAAGCTCGCTCCCGTTCCCTGTGCACGGAAGCCATCCGCTTCTGGAATTGGTGCATTTACCACGGAATAACACGTACGGCATCTTACTTACCTGGCACCACAAACGTGACTGCAGATTTCCTCAGCAGGCACTTCGACACGAAGCATGAGTGGGAGCTGCATGACCGGGTCCTGCACACAATTTTCCAATGCTGGGGTACCCCTCGCATAGATCTGTTTGTGACCTTCAACAACACGAAGTGTCACAAGTATGCTCCAGAGCGGGTCTCGGCCCAGCCTCCCTGGGAGACGCCTTTCTCATCAGTTGGCGCAGACCCCTCCTCTATGCCTTTCCCCCCATTCCGATGATTCCGAGACTCCTTCAGAAAGTGAGGACGGACGGGGCGCGACTCATCCTTGTAGTGCTGGATTGGCCGCACCAACATTGGTTCCCCTTTTTTCATCGCCTATCCTCACGCCCACCCATCCACCTCCCGCTCCTCCTCAACCTCTTCACTCAGAACTGGAGACGGCTGAGACATCCCCAGATTCACACTCTGAATCTCAAAGCATGGTACCTAACTGGATGAACCCTTCTGAATCTCAATGTTCGGCACCGGTTAGACACGCTCTTATACACAGTAGACATCCAACAACAAGGAATACTTACCTTCACAAGTGGCACAGGTTCGCCTCCTGGTGTGCTGCAAACATCATCGCCCTGAAGTAGCACCTCTTCCTCTGGTATTGGACTGTCTTATTCACCTAAAAGAGACCAGCCTTGTATTAGCTTCTCTCAGAGTACACCTGGTGGCAATTTCGGCCTTTACATCACCGGTAGAGGGAGCTTCCATCTTCGCTTATCCCACCACAAAGAGACTCCTCAAGGGCCTCACTAATTTAAGTCCACCAAGAGACCCAATCCCACCATCATAGAACCTTGATGTGGTTCTCGAGGCCCTAATGAGGCCACCATTTGAACCATTGGCCACCATTTCCTTTCACCTTTAACCATAAAGATGCTTTTTCTACTCACAATAACATCAGCACACAGAGTAGGAGAGCTCTCCTCCTTGATGGCCACACCACCGTACACGATATTCCGAAAGGATGGGGTAATATTAAGACTACACCCGAAGTTCATTCCAAAGATCGCATCCCATTTTCACATCGAGCCAATAATTCTTCCAGTGTTCTACCCAAAACCCCATGCCTCACTACGAGAAGTAGTCCTCCATTCCCTAGATGCTTGGAGGGCCCTAGCTTTCTATTTCACTCGAACCAGACCCTTCAGATGCACTGACCGTTTGTTTGTCTCTCTGGCACCTAGGTCAAAAGGACAACCGATATCCTCCCAAAGGATCTCCAACCTAATAACCTCCTGCATAACAGAAGCCTATGCAACAAAACGTATTCCCATCCCACCCACGTGCCCATTCCACCAGAGCTATGGCTGTGTCGACAGCCTTCCTTAAAGGGGTTTCCCTTAAAGACATTTGCAGGATGGCCACTTGGTCCTCCCACGACACTTTTGCTAGACACAATTCTTTATCACTGGGCACTCGCTCGGATGGTGCGGTAGCGACTGCGGTTCTCTCCACAGAGGATAACTAGGGACTCCATGCTTCCCTCCTTCCTTTCTGGCGGCTACTGCTACGCAGTCACCCACAGTGGAGCACTCGCAGGGACATCCTTGAAGAAGAAAGCGAAGTTACTCACCTTGGTGCAGTAACTGTCGTTCTTCGAGATGGTGTCCCCGCGGGTGCTCCACTACCCGCCCTCTTCCCCACTTCGGAGTCCGCTTTTCTTTGTGTCTTACAGAGTCTGAGGCGGTCTCGAAGAACTGGCAGTTGGCCGGACCGCGTGCAGGAAAAGAGTGTGAAAGCCGCAAGCACAGCGGTGCATGCACGGCCTGGCCGAATACTGCTTCCAACAAGTCTCCATTCTGCAGCGCCGGGGCAAGCCCACCACCCACAGTGGAGCACCCGCAGGGACACCATCTTGAAGAACGACACCTACCATCAGGAACCCATTGTATCTCAGAGCCGCTCTTCTGCAGTGGAGTCATTTCAAGCCCCTGGTCCTGACACGGCTCCTATGACAAATTACATACCCTTCCCATGTTTTCTTCCAGGATGGAGACTGAGGTTTGCTTTCACAAAAGGCATGCAGATCTTTTCTTCTTTTCATTTGCTCTCATCATGTCAGACAAAACCTCTACTGTTTTTTACATCAACAAAAAAGGGGGAACAGTGACTGCTTGGAGTGGCAGATCATCTCCAGACTGGAACATCAGCCACCCATTCTGCAGCCTATTTTCTGAAGACACAAAAAGTACTCATGAACTCACTCAACAGACCAATTCATTTACGCCTTCCCTCCATTACTGCTCCTGATTTGAATGATGCACAAGATCTGACGATACAGGGTACCATCATTCTGATCGCTGCTTTCTGGCCCAGAGAATTCTGGTTCTCCAATTTCCTGTGCATTACATTCTGCCTGCTGATTTCCATCCTGAATTTCCTCAATCTTCTGTCCCAGCACAATGGCATGATCAAGCATCCCAATCCATGTATGAATGGTTCTCTACTCTAGAATGGCTGTACAATTCTCTAACAGTAAGGACGACTCCATTTGACAGTGTTACTGAGTTAAGTAGTAACATTTTTCATCTTGGGAATAACATGGAGGGGTAGAGAACCACTTGCTCTGCTCCGTTGCATGTCGATGCTCGGCGTGCCTTTCCCAGCTCACAGCTATTACACAGCAAGACGGGTGCCTGAGCTTTAGGAACAAACAGAAAGGACTATGCTTGATTGTTAAAGTCATCGGTTTGTTTCGCTCTTAGTCTTTTGAGAATCCAGCTGGCAGTGATCAAGATGGTCCATCATCTTGTGGAATGTTACTCTGTTTTCACACAACTACTGACCACTAGATTTTGAAAAGGTTTCCTCAACACCCTTCCACCCTTAAAAATGATTGTGGCTGAATGGGACCTGAATCTGGTACTCTAGGTATTAATGATGTGACCGTCTGAACCACTAACATCTTGCTCCCTTTCCTTACTTTCCATGAAAGTTATATTCCTTGTTGCTGTCATTTCAGTGAGAAGTGTTTGTGAATTAAGATCTATGATAGCAGACTTGCCATTTACAGTATTCCACAAGGATAAGGTCACCTAATGTCTACACCCAAAATGTTTACCAAAGGTTATCTGTCAGTTTCTGATTAATCCATTCACTAATCCATTAAACCTCTTCCTGACATCGCACTCATCTTCAGCAGAAAGTTGATTCCATTCTTTCCATGTCTGATGATCTTTGGTCTTCTACCAGCAGAGAATGAAACCAATCAGGAAATCCCCTACACTATTTTTGCAGTAGCATAGAGACTTGGGGGACAAGCAATCTACACCCAGAGAATTTCCAAATGGATTTGTGGGTGCATTATACTTTGCTGCCAGCTATTAGATCTACCTCCACCCACAAGAGTATTGGCTATTCCACTAGAACTCAAATTATGACCAAGGCATCCCTTCAGGATGTGTGTCTCACAGACATTTGTAGAGCAGCCACATGAAATTCTGTATATGTCTTTGCAACACACTATTCATCAGTGCAGGACTTAGTGCTGAATGCCTTCCTTCTTTGGCATGGTAGTTCTCCCTATGATCTTTCCATCTCCATCCTCATGCCCTCCTCCAACTTAGGTACTGCTTGTCAGTCACCCTTTATAAAGAACAATAGGGAACATCACTCAAAGAAGAGGAGGCTACTTACTTGTAACTGGAGATTCTCTGAAGTGTGTGGTGCCAATCTGTATTCCATTTTCTGCCTTTCTTCCATTCTGCTTTGGTCAGTTCTGTCAGATTTAAAGTTGAAAGGAACTGGATATGCAGTCAGACAGCTCTGCCCTTTATCACCTCGGAAGCATGAGGCAAGTCAGGGTATATACATGGACCTATGGAACCCTCTTTCAAACTTGTCCTATTGCAGGCAGTGCTGTGTCGATGTAACCCTCAGTTGAATACAGAGAGGGAACTCACATCTCAAAGAACTTCATTACAGGTAAGTTACCTCCTCATCTCTGATTTCACTCTAAAGCCCCCATTCACCTGTGCATCATCACCATCTCTTCAGAACCTGAGCTTTTATCATCTAAGGGAAAGCAAGTGGGTTAGATGGTGACTCTGAATCATCTTTGCATTAGACTGTACTACTTCACTTTCAGATTTTAATTGCATATCTGGAAATGTTTACTTAAACAGCTCTGGTGAAGCTATCTGGTACTTGAACTATAAATCTATAATTTCCACCTTGTGCTTTCCTATATCAAAGCAGTGAGCTCAAAGGGCTTTTCAGCACCTGTTCTCCACTGTTTCCTGACATTCTCTAGGTAATTGTCTGGTCTGGGGGTAATGTTCAGCTAATCCACTCCTACTAAGCAAATAGTAAGACTCGAGCTCCTTTTACATTTTCTTTTCTTTTGAATTCTTTCCCTTGTTTACAAAGAGTGAAGTAAGGACATCAGCATTCAGCTGATGAATGATGACTCTCAAGCTTTAGTTCATCTGTAGATCTGCCTTACTGATAAGATTTTGTAGAAGAGCAGATGGTGCCGGATTCAATTCATGTATTATATATTAAGTCATGGAGGGTATGTCTACACTGCTACCCTAGTTCAAACTAGGGTGGCTAATGTAGGCATTCGAACTTGCAAATGAAGCCCGGGATTTAAATATCCCGGGCTTTATTTGCATGTTCCCAGGCGCTGCCATTTTTAAATGCCTCGTAGTTCGAACTACCTGCCCGTGCCTACACGCGGCACGGACTAGGTAGTTCTAATTAAAGCTCCTAATTTGAACTACCATTAAACCTCCTTGCGGGAGGAATAACGGTAGTTCGAATTAGGAGCTTTAATTCGAACTACCTAGTCCGTGCCGCGTGTAGCCGTGGGCAGGTAGTTCAAACTACGGGGCATTTAAAAATGGCAGCACCTGGGAACATGCAAATAAAGCCCAAGATATTTAAATCCCGGGCTTCATTTGCAAGTTCGAATGCCTACATTAGCCACCCTAGTTCCAACTAGGGTGGCAGTGTAGACATACCCTAAGAGTTTTATCATTGACTTGTTGGATGTAGCCTTGGGGTTAAGGAGCTAATTCAGCGTCTGGCATGGAATCTGAATATTTTATTGTCTTTTATCTAAGAAAATTTCTATCAGCTGCTAAATATCATACAGTTGATATTTGTGGAGTCTTAGCTACCTTTATTAATAATCAGAAATCAGATGGTAATACCTTGAATCCTATCATTAATAGGGATAGAAAATCCTTCGGATTTGCCTAATCATAAGTACAAACAGGATGGATGAAAAGGACATGAAATCTTATTAGCAGAAGTTTTATACATGAACGTGGAGAACTACTTGGAAGTGGTAGCCAGCTGTAATTGTAATAATTGGAGTAACATACTTTCTGCTATTCACTAATTTTTAGAGACTAACAAGCAGACCCTTTACATAGTCCAGAAAGATAAGGAACTGGTAAAAAATGTACTTACAACTACATATATTCTGGACTTCAGTTCAACAAATGTTTTATTAACATCAGTGCCAGTGTTTCCAAAGATGCATATCTGGGACCTGCCCAAAAATATAAAGTAAATGGCTGGATTTTCTCTCTGAGTTCTGTTTGTTGAGCAGTCATATAGATGATACACAAGTTACACTGGAAACCAGTACCCCACAGAACATTGCCTCAAACTCACCCAACTCTTTACTCCTACTCATAATCAATTGCAGTACTCATACATGCCTCAGTAGTCAT